AAGTAGAAACTATTTTAGTAGTTAGCTAGTATAGTAAAAGTAAGACCTAGCTATAAGATAGATTATTAAGAATACTAAGTAGTAAGATTATTCTACTAATATAATATATACTTAATAGTTAGATTAATTATAGAGCTGCTATATATATTTAAGGCTAACGTAGGTACTAGTCTATTAGTACTACTTATAAATAAATTTAGCTTATAAATACTCTAACTAATATTAATTCTAGTATAAGAATATTATAGATAATAAGCGTGCTAGATTTAAGAAGTCTAATAGTGCTAGCTAAGTATTTATGCTATCTTATTCTTAAAGTTTATAAATATATTAATAATCTTAGTCTAGCTAATAGATTTATAATAACGTATAAAGAAGCTTATAATAGTGCTACTTCTAGTAGAAGAGAATCTTATAATACTATAATTCTATAGAGCGCTATAGTAGACTAGTTAATAAGCTAGAGCTTATATAGTAGTAGAGACATAGCTATTAGACTTAGAGTAGTCTTTATTCTAGATAAAAGGTTATACGTACTCTAGAACCTAGTATTATATTAGTTAAGGTTATAGAGAAGAGTATAGTCTAAGTAGAATTATATTAGAATCTATTAGAGCTAAAGAGTATACTTTTACTAAATTATTTAGTGCGCTAAGAAGCCTAGTAGAAGATATAGAGATTAGCCTCTAGTTAGTAGGCTCTAGATAAGAAGTATAAGAGAGATAAATTCTCTCTATTATAGTAGCTTATTAATTAGTTAGCTAAAGTACTTTATTTAGCTACTATAGATATTTAGTAAGAGTAAGTTTAACGTCTAACTAGAGTAGATTCTTCTTACTACTCTACTTGTGTATCTTCTTAGTAGGTAGTTATAAAAGTTTACTTACTTATAAAGATATAAAGTAGAGATCTATAACTATAGTAGAGTTAGAAGTAATATAGTTCTAAGATTATATAATATATTAGAATAAGCGTACTAGTTATTATAAAAAAGCTTATAACTCTACTTATAAAAAAATATAACTAGTTACTTATAAGTAGACTTAGTAAAATAATTATAAAAGAGTATAGCTAGAAAGGCGTAGTGTATTAGATTAACTTAATCTTAGTTATTAGCTAGTAGTGTCTTAAGCGCAGAACTAATAGAGCTTAGTAATTAGTAAAGTATTACTATATTTATCTTAGTGCTCTAAAGATATCTTTTAATATATCTCTACTTATAGTAGCTACTAGTTACTATAGTCTAGAGGTAATATTAGTGCTATAGAAGTAGAAATCTAATAAAGGTAGTAGAGGCTAAGAGCGTAGATTATAATAATATTCTAGAAAAACTAAACTTCTTTTATAAAGTTCTTATTAGTCTTATATTACTCTTCTAAGTAAGCTAACTAGGTTAAAAAGTATCTAAGTTCTACGTTATTTTTAAAGAATAGTTAGTAAAAGCTAGAGATAAAATAGATTTCTTACTTAGGTAAGAATATATTAGCTTATTACTATTCTTAAAAAGAGCTAAATACTTTAAAAGTTTCTATAATTAAGTATATAACTTATAAAAGTTTAAAAGTAATAGTAGAGTAAAAAAGATTAATATTATTAAAGATAATAAGATTATATACTTATATAATAGCGTCTCTAGTAAGAGTAGAAAGTTATACTAGACTAGAGTTTTAAAAGTTTAGAAAAGGTAAGTTATTACTTATAGAAAGAAAGTAGTGTAGAAAGTGTATATTAGTTAGTATATAGTACTATAGAAACGTTAGTTCTATTAGGTAGAAATTTATTAGTAGAAGGTTAGGCTACTATAATAATAGTACTTACTAGAATTAGTAGTATAGTTACTAGTACTAGAATATTATTAAAAGTATTAGTTAATATAGTAGTGTAATATAGAAGACCTGTCTAGAGCGTAGATAGTAGCTCTTTATACTAGTAATAGTTTAAGTAGTAGTAACTTTCTACTAGTACTAGTATAGACTTACTAGATCTAGATAATTTAAGCTGTTTATAACGCTAGATTCTACTACTTTAAGAAGTATAACTTTTTTAGTAGTAGTTTATAATATCTAGACTTTACTAATAAAATTAGAACCTAGAGAAAGTATAAAGGTAGTATTATAGTAGTAGTAGGTTTGCGTTTATAAGCTATAGAAAAATCTATAAACGCTAATCTTATATACTATAAGTAGCGTATTATATATTTAAAAAGAAACTATTATAAGTTAAATAGTACCTAGCGCTATTATTTTATATAGACTTATACTTAATTTAATTCTATTATAAAGATTAAAGTCTTAATAATATTATTCTAGATCTAGAGAGAGTTATAGGTATAGCGTACTATACGTAATATTAAATACTAGAGTAAGTAGTCTTTACTATCTATTTAACCTTTATATACTTATTATAATATATATAATATTACGCTATTAGAACCTAGCGTAAAAGGCGCTATAGTTTATTATAAAGCTACTAACTATAGAAAGTATAGTAGTAATACTAGGCTATTAATAGCTTTATAAGGTTATAAAGAATAATAAATTAAAAGTATTACTAAGAGTAAGCTACTATCTATAAGATATAGGTTTAAGTATAATTATATTATAATAACTACTAACTAACTAGTGTAGAAGGAGGAACTAAGTACCTATCAAGGAATCACGTGACAGCGGCCGCTATCTAGACGCCAGCCTCGACCACTACCAGAGCTCTCCATTCTCCACAGCAACCCCAACCATCCTTCCCCAACTTCGAATCCACATCGAAGTTGTTCCCGTCGTGTTTATTGCGCGACAACAACACCACCACAGCTCGTCTCTTGTACTGCACCTGTCTTCACCGCCGCCATGCAGCTCACCACCCTCTTCCTCGCCGCGCTGAGCGCCGTCTCTGTCACCGCATCGCCCTCATGGATGGGTGGCGACCAGGTCACGATTAAGGAGGAGTACAAAGTTCCAGGCGACAACCCTCTGTACTTCTGCGGCGACCCAGCCGACGATCTTCTGAAGATTGAGAAGGTCGACCTGAGCCCCAACCCACCCAAGCCGTACGTGTACCTTGTTGGATTACTGTGAAGCTGCGCAATCGCACACGTGAAAGCTTCGCGAATCTCAAGAGCTTAAAGACTGGAGCTAACTTGTACACAGTGGCGAGAAGCTCAGCATCAAGGCCACAGGCGACTTCAAGGAGGAGGTCGGTGAGGGTTTCAAGATGCACCTGCAAGTCAAGTACGGCCTCATCACACTCATCAACCAGAACGCGGATGGTTGCGAAACGATAAAGAAGGGAGACCTCGAGTGCCCGCTCAAGAAGGGCGAGATGAGCTTGACCAAGGACGTTGATCTGCCCAGGGAGATTCCTCCGGTACGTTTCAAGCTGCGACGAACATAGAAGAGTACTAACAGCACGACAGGGCACATACACCGTCCTCGCCGATGTCTTCACCGCAGAGGGCGACAAGATTACTTGCCTCACCGCCAAGATCGCTTTCCACCGGTAAATTGCCTCACTTCGTAACGACTCTACAACGCGCGATGAGCAACGAGGATGTCTGATATTCAATGATGCAGGGGAAACGCGGAGGAAAGTAATGTAGGCAGTGGCAGCAAGATCAAAATGGGACAACCTAGGGTGCAGATGAGTGGCCCTTTGGCTGGTCTTGTACAGGAGCGGTTAAGGCGGAGGAATGAGCTGTAAGCCATTTTTGGCGAATTTCTCTTTGTTTTGACTCGCGATATCAGCATGTGCCGATTGTAGGCCTTGGTTTTAATGTTTCCCAACTATGTCTCCCAGCATGATTCACATGTCAAGTTCAAGCTCACATTGGCATTACGAGGTACCTGCAGTAGACTATTGCATCGGCAAACAGATGACTAGTCTATTGCCGGTACCTCGCAATGACAGTGCAAGTTCAAGTTTGATATGGCATGTGGATTGAGAATGTAATGACGGATTAATGTAGATATGAAGCACACGGATACTCTTCAGGGCTTCCTTCTCCGACTTTCATGCATTTTGGTGGATATCATGTTTATTGACGTTGTAGCTTGTATGCACAGATGACTGCTGACGGCATATGCCTGGTACCCATTCACGAGTAGTGTATGCGACATATGCCGGGGCTACCATATTCCGCCAGTCTGCTACATCCGATGTCTACTCTCCGAATAACCTCCTCACCCTCTTCAGCACACTGTCCTTCTCGGGGTCGTACGGGTGGTCTTTCGATGGGATCTCGAGGAGGGAGGGGAAGGCAGCGGTGTATGTCTCGACTCGATGTCGTATCTTCTCGGCGATCTGTGGGTGGTTAGACATGTCTCAGCCTACAAGTCCGTAGAACTTCTGGCATCCTTCTAGATTCCAACGCCACATCCGGGGCGCATAAGACGTACGTGCTGGTTAATGAGCAGAATCGCGATATCCTTGCGCTCGGTGGTGAAGCGGTCGAATGCAGCTTCGATGGTCGCGGTCTCGGTCTTTGCGTCTACAACGAGGAAGTTCTTTTGGCTGTCCGGCGGCTGAGTGACATGCTACGATACCCGTCAGTCTCCTGTCTACGTCGCGTGTCGCAGGAAGTAATAGCTTACGCCTACGCCTGCAAGCAGCATGCCCGTGCAAGTGTCCTGCGACCGGTTAGCGCCCTTGAACCGCCAAACGGGGAAGCCGCGAGATGCACACCTCATCGCCTATTACGGCGAGGAACTGCCTGTCCTTGTACTGTGCCGCGGGTGCTGCCATAGTGAGAATGTAGTGAGGCAGCTGTCGTGAGGTCGGAGCTTGGCTGCACTGAAGCTGGAGCTCCCGCGCGCCGTCGTCATGGGCGGGACCAGGGCCTAGTCCGCGTTAGGCCAACTGTTTGTACTGTCGCTTCTTTCACCCTTCGCGCTTTCTTCATTGTCGCCGCACCACCATGACTTGAGCCTTGCTGCTACCCCATTTCTTCTCACCTCTCTTCTACAACCCGGGACTCGCCTTAGCACTTATAATCGTAATACCACCGCGCCATGCCTCCTCTCGTGCGCCGCGCACCGCTCTCGGAACGCATCAAAGCCTACTTCGACCTGTCCGACTGGCTCATCTGGATCTCGGAGGAACTCAACAGCTCTGACTGGGAGGACTTTGCATCCGCATATGCGCTTTACATCGGCTTCGGCGCAAACCTCCTCTTCGTACTCGCCCAGGCCAACAGCGGCGCATCCACGGCTTCGGACGACGATGGCGTCTTCAACGAGGTGCAGGGTCCCGGATGGATAAAGTGGATCATGGGATTGCTGGTGTTGGTCCTCGGTGCATCCAGCTTTGGCAACGCGTTCATGGTCTGGGGTAAGAGGAGGTACTACCGTCTCTTCGAGCAGAGTGTGGATGTTGCGCCACAGACACCCAGTGCGAAGCGCGTCCGAGTCGACTCATCGCCTGCCGCAGCGAGTCCGATGCAGTTTGTGAGAGGCTTGGTGCAGAACAACGCGGCGAGCAGAGCGCATCCGGTCGAGGGCAGGGACGTCTGGGAAGTTGCCGTTTGGGACCCAAACCCGCTATGCCTGGAGCTGTTCTGCTTGTTCAGCCCGTTGCATGTGGTGCTCTACTACTTCAACCTCCCAGTTGCCCCCCTCGATCCCAGACCGAGCGTCAGGGTGACCACGACAATCTTCATCGGAGCCGCGCTCTCGCTTCATCTTTGGTGGCTTAGGAGCTCCTTTATGCAGCAGGCCAAGGACAACTCTCTCATCAGTCGCCAGGTGCTCCACGAGTACGATAGCAAATTTGTCCACCCCTCACTACAGAAGCCATGCCGCGACGTCGGAATTCAGACCATCTCGACAAACCGGACCCGAGACTCGAGCGTCGGTGTCAAGGGCAGCAGCCACGGTCTTGCGAGCTCAATCGTTACATACACACCAACCACTATCGTGAACCGTAAAACCTTCCGCACGAATCCGAACGTCAGCTACGCCTCACAGTACGACCCTGATAACATGGAATCGCCATCCGTCACACGCTCGTCGCGACGACGATCCTCAGTCCACCAAGATCGTGGCACCTCAAAATACACAACCACCTCCACAGCTACCGACGCCGACTTCTCCTCTCCGATTCGACCCTCGCAAACGCCCAATCCCTTCCGTCAAGCACCCACCATCCCCCGGACCAACACCAAGCCTACCGACGGCGGATACCTGGGGGTCAACACTCATGCCGCGTCTCCTTTACGAAAGTCCGCCAGCGCAAACTTCTCAAGAGATGGCGAGAGGAGTGCAAGCCGCGGCAGGGATAGCCTCGGTGGCGCTTTCGAGCGCAGGGCTAGTCCAAGCAAGCGGGACGTCAGCCCTCTGAAGAGGATCAGTCTCGGCAATTTGGGCGCTGCGAGGGAGAGTGGTGAGAAGACACTGGGTCAGTCGGCGAGCTTGGGTAGAAGCAACCCGTATGGAAGCCTTGGTGTTGGACGAAGGGAAAGCGGAAGGTACTAAAGATGTACGACTAAGTGGGGATGCATGTGCGACACGAAGGTCGGGATGAAAAAGCGCGTGTACGATGGTGAGATGTGAGTTCGTTCAGTTCATGTATATTCTACTATCTACAATACCCGAGAGGGGCGACCAACATGGCGCTCTTCCATTACAGAATCTCATTAATCACATAAATCAATGTGTACTTTCTTTTGAACTTTCGGTGATCACCATGGGATCATCGTCATATGTTTTTGAAAGTATTCACGCATGTGTGCATGTCACGTTTCCGCTTGCCCAGTCCATCTATATAAATGACCACCCATTCTCCACCTACGTTCCTCCTATATTCTTCAGTTTCCCTTACCCGTTTCAAAAAAATAACTACGATGCGAGACATGTCTGTTCTCTGGGTCTCCAAAAGTACGAGAGAAAGCAGCTATGGCGTCGACCTCCAACTTGCTTTCTTTTTCAAAACATGGACAATGTGTGGAAATGTGTTTCCAAAAGACCAGACCGCCAAAGATGCTAGTCTTCAATCCAATGTTTCGTACCATTAATATGGGCCCCCAACATGCATCTCCGACACGATGCTCAAGATATATAAAAGTCGACAGCAGATGGAAAGCCACCATTCTATTGTTCATGCTCCCTGAGTCTTGTCCAAAATTTCAAGATATCATGGCTATGTCCGCTTCCTGCCTTTTCAAAATAAAGAGGAAATTCAGGCATGTGCGGCTGATTCGACTGCTGTGTCCATCTACGATTATCAAAAAGCTAAAGACAAGATATGGATGGGAGGCCGTCGCCGATAAAACTACTGCCAGTACTTAAATGTTCTCCGCTGTCAACTGGACTTCTTGTCAATTAAACTTCTGCTTTGCTTAAAAGAATAAATACTCCAGCTCTATGCGCTGAGGTCCCCTTTCCTCGTCAGAACATTTTCTACTGCTGTGGACCAAAAGAAGACCAATATCAAGACATGGCGTGTGCTTTCTCCAAAGTTGACAGGTGGCTTCTTTATGGAGCGCGTTTCCAAAAATTCAATTACTGCAAAATATTAAGAATCACAGAGAATCAATGTAATGTGTTGCGACCTTATTATTGAGCAAGAACAACAGCTTCCGTACAGTGTGTTGCCGTTGACTTCAAAACCCTTAGCGATCACTTCATGTGCAACAAGCACCCCGGTCTTGCAACGGTTATACCGTTGAGCTAGAAGCCGGTCTTGCGACCGGGGCATATAAAAGACTCCCGTATGCTCTCTCGAAGTCTTCTTCTTCATTAACACTGATTCCGATTTTACCAAAAAGCGCAAGGCTACACGCCTTGTGTCTACTGCATACTCCAAACAGTTATCTCGACAACTTATGGAGTTCTTGCCCTTTTATCCAAAAAGCTCGGATACAATGTCATGTTGAAAGAAAGTGATCGCTTTGATCCAGGCGCTGCAAAGAGATTCTCATGCACCGGATATCTAGATTGAAAACATAACCACGACCTAAACACGTCTTTCCTGGGCTGTGAGCCAAAACTATCCGCATACCTGGCCATGTGGTTAGATGTCCAGAGGTCTCACATCATCGTGACAGCCAGTGTTCTACATAGAAAAGGCACACGCCGTCGCACATGGTGTGTCCATACCGAAGTGTTCACAAAACCATGATTGCTTCTTCTGCGGTACGTGTACCCGATGAGTTTTGCTTCCAGAAAATTTACATCAAATTCATAATGCTGACAACCTATGTTTTGTTCTCCCGCCGCCTGATCAAAAGACGACATGGCCTTCATCATGACTGCGCGATCGCGATCGCAAACAGTTTATCCTACACCGCCAGCTGTCTCTCCTCTTTGTCTCCATGTCCTGACACAAGTGTCAAAACATGTCTAAATATAGTAACAAAAAGCAACGTGCGACAGCGAAGCTTGTGTTGTTCTCAGCCCTACAAGCATCATCCCGCTCAGCGGCTACTTCCTTCTTTTTTCCCACACCGTTTTGTCTAAAAGGCTCGAGGGGATCCGGCACCTGGTAGAACATCGTTGGGGTTCTACGTCATGGGAAGGTGTTGGGAAAGTCCACGCGGCCTCGCATGCGTTGGTCTCGTATAGATTGTATTTTCGGGTGCCAGGAAAAAGGATACATGGTGTTGACAAAATCTTGATCGATGATGTCGGCTGATGCGAGAATGATGTCACAGGCACGTTGCAATGAATGTGAGCGTAATGTTTGAAGTTATTGAATGCATTTCGTAGCTAATGGATATATACAAAAAAGGCGTATCAAAACATGGTTTTGCAAGAGGCATGAAACCTCTGACCACTTGGTATATCATCGTCGTTCACAATCATCCGACTCTTCGCTGAAGAGCCATATCCATCCATTGTCGTGATTCAGAAAGCACAAATCCGTTCAGCCAGCGCTTAAACAGAGTTGATGAAGGAGAGGAGAGCAGAGGTGCGAGCGTAGACACCGGGGAAGCCCTCCTGAGCGCAGCCGTTGCCGAAGGAGACGAGACCAATGAGGGTCTTGGAGGAGTCGACGATGGGGCCGCCGGAGTCACCCTGGCAGGAGTCCTTTCCACCCTGGGGGAAACCAGCGCAGATCATGTTGGTGGTGATGGCAGAGGTTCCGTAGGAAGAGCGGCAGCTGGCGCGGGAAACGATGGGGACGGTGACCTTCTGGAGAGCAGCAGGGCTGCTGCCGCCCTCTGTGAGAGCACCCCAGCCGGCAACGACAGCGTTGGATCCAGCAGCGGGGTCGGAGCCGGCAGCAGGAAGGCGAGCATAGCCGATGGAGCCGCTGGCAGCGACGGAAGTAGAGAGCTTCCAGATGGCGACATCCCAGTCCTGACCCGAGCTGCGGTAGTTGGGGTGGACGGTGACGGATGAGACGCCAACCAATGTACCGCCGGATGCCTTTTGAAGGCTACCAGCGCGGATCTTGAGGGTGCTGACAGAGCCGATGACTGAGCTCACGGAACAGTGAGCAGCAGTGACGACGGTGGTGGCGTCCAAAAGCGAACCACCGCAGAGATGCTGTCCGTTCTTCTGAAGGCTGACAATGAAGGGGAAGTCACCAGAGGCAGCGGCAGTTCCACCGACAATGTCGTCAACGGGAGCATCCTCGGGGAACTCGTACTCGGGGTCTTGAGGAGTAGGAGCCGCAAGGACGAGCGCAGGGAGCGCGATGGCGATGATGGATTGGAAACGCATGATGATTGTTTCGAGTGAATGAGGCTACACGGAGTAGGACTGTGAAGTGATTAAAGTGAAGAGACAAGCGACTGACTGAGCTGGCTGATGATGAAAAGAAAGGGAAGTGACTCTATACTTATACACAGACCATCATCCCCTGATCATCAAACACGCAATCCAGTGCAGTGTCTCCATCGTGTTGTCCGGAGTCGCCAAGCGTGATCGACTAGGTGTGCACTTTGTCCTTCCGAATTGGGGGTCCGCTTCGGCTTGGCGAAGTCTTAACGAGAGTCCGCCCATCGTACCTTTGGCGCGCCGGTGCGTGCAAGGTGACCCTGTCCATGTAGGTACGTTATCTGTGTGTAGTATAAGCTTTCCGGCTGTTTACCTCACAACGAATGTGAAGGACGAAGCTGATCTAGCGGTTGCTCCCGTATACCGGGATCAAGGCGAGTTTTGCCTCACAGCTGCAGTCTGCAGGTCCGCTTCTCCAGATCGTTGCTTTTTCGCCCCTTTCTCATTCCAGCTTAGGGCTGCGATCTCAGCCATCTCTTGTGCTTGAAACATGTCGGAAATAAGACTGTTTCCTCTCACGGCCTCAGGCAACCGCAACATAGCCGTCAAACATGGTTGTTTCAACTCGGGGTATGTCGCAACAAGGCCGTTACAGCGACGCTGTTCCCTAGACAGCAGGAGGTTGTGACGCCGTTCCATATCCTGGCTATAGTAAAGCCGAAGTACCATCGTATTTCCTTTGCCATAGTCTTGGTTCTCGTAGAGTCCATCGAATCGACGCGATCTTATCGCGGCGTATAGCGCCGTCATGCGTTGTCTCCTGAAGAGGCAAGAGATTTTGCCACATGTGGTGTGCATACCGACACAAGCGCCGACCAGGTTCCTGTAACATCTCGTGGTAGGCGAACCACGATGCAGGCTGTGTATATTGCCCTACATGATCGGCATTGTACGTGATTTGTGCCATTTTGTCGGGGGACGAATAGTGTGTTGATGTTAGGTTAGGCGTGACTAGTACGCCAGTGGGGAAAAGGCAGGAGGATTGACCTGCCACAACGGATAGGTCCGCATGGGCTGCTAGCAAAACACTCGCGCACTTGGCTCCGGCATGCACATTGCGACGTCGGAGATGGCGAGCATTCAGGATGTCGCATTATGGCGTTCGTTGGGTGACACCGGCTCTGGGCCAGGAAAGGCAGGAGATGGAGGAGCTATTGGTAGGGCGGAGCTTTAATGTCTTGGCGACGCGCGCGTGAGCCGGCAGACTGCCGGAGGTAGTATCGATCTACACAACGGCGCTGAAACCTGCACATAGTATGGCTGGTATGGAGATCTCCAGTGCTTGCCGGTGGTTCACCGCATGTGAAGTGGTCGAGAAACAATGGCGGTCGAAACGTTGTGTTCAGCGCCCGGCCGCGTCCGCGTCCAGCCTCGGTACCATAGTCAACAACACTCTACTTCGATAAGGCCACTGTATACGTAAATTGCTCTCGTCAACATGTCTCTTGATGCGCCGAGCATGAGTGCCAGATAACGCCATGCAGACATACTAGCGCAGTGCCTTCAGCCTCATCCGAAGTCTGCGTCATATGCAAGGTACTTCGACTGTTGCCTTGCCTGCACACCATGCGTGGCGCAGCCGCTACTAATACTCCTGACACTATCTCAACTCTCTGCACTGCAATATCCACCACATCCAGAACGAATGCCAGCTGATTCGAAAGGTCGTCGCAACCTCTTGTGGGCATTTGGATTATTCTCTCTGATCCTGATATCATTCCACATCTTCTCGTCAAAAGAGATGGATAGCC